TGACTAAGAGTGAGTACTCTGTTTCAGCGAGAGACGTGTCGTAAGCAGGGTCAAACCGTCACGTTCGAACATTTTCAGGGTTTTTGCGACCCCCTTTTCTCAAGGGGGTCACCCCCTTATCTCAAGGGGGTCCAGTTGCGACCCCCTCTTAGGTAATGGAAGTGCCGAATGTGCTGACTAAATGTTAAGTGAAATATTTATTTCACTCATTTTACTTCAAAGACAGTGAACTAAAACCTTTTAAAGACAATGAACTTCCATGACATAGAACAAAACATTTGAATATTGAATTTCTTCACTGGCATTTGAATTGAATTCTTTTCAAAAAATCATTGAATTTTTTTCAAAAATTCAATGATTTTTTGAAAAAAATTCAATTCAAATGTTCAGTAAAGAATTCAATATTCAAATGTTGTGTTCGTAAGTTCGTAAGTTCATTGTTTTCAAATGGACAATGAACTTCCATGAAATATGAACAGAACATTTGAATATTGAGATCTTCACTGAAATTTGAATTGAATTGTTTTCAAAAAATCATTGAATTTCTGAAAAAAATTCAATATTTTTTTCATGTTGCCCAAAACTTCAAACTTCATGCTTCCGAAAGAATCACAAGAGCAGTTCAAGGGAGTAAATCAAAGAGAGTTACGTTCTCCATCAATGCATCTCCTAAGATGAGCCCCAAAGGAGCAAGAATCACAGGGCACTGGCTAATGAAAGCTATTTTTTATGGTTAGCCTCGCGAGATCAAAATTTTTGTTCGCTCACAATCACGCCAAAATGAGGATGAAAGCGAAATGTGTAAGACCAAATGGAGGGATATCCAACAAGTAACATGAAGACTGACGAACTTCTGCTCAAACAGCTGAAAAAAGAGGAAGGATTAAAGAAGAGTAGGACTGACATGATTGCGTCAGAAACCGCCGCAGAAAGCGTTTGCGTTGCGGCGTCAACCTTGGAGCGCGGCAGGTATCACCCGGACGCTGGAAAACTGGGACGCGGCGAAGAAAAAGTTTTAGGAGAGTGTAACTTTCTTGAGACGTATTTGTTTCACTTATTGAGGTAGGTTTAAACTGTGCCTGAGGTGGCTTTACAGAAAATTGCAAGGATGACCTAACTCTCCCAAAAGTATTTCTGTCAGAAGCGGAAAACCCAAAATTCTGAGAAGGCGCACCTCCAACTTTGAGAGCTCATAAAATCTTTCGTATGCGACATCTTGGAAATCTGTAAAAAGTTTCAGAAACTTCAAATATTTCTCTAACAAAACAGTATAAAAAGTTAGTGATTGTCCCCTTTTTCAAAAAATTGTCCCGTTCGAACATTTTCCGTGCAAAAGCGAGTTTTTGGGCTTTCAGCGACCATAACTCACTTCATTTTCATTTCTGTGATGCACTTTTTTCCATGGGGTGAAAGAGCAGGTTTTGCTCTTTCTAATAAGCCCTAAACCATTTTTCAAAGTTCATTTTTCGAGAAAATCCCACGTTCGAACATTTCGGGCGGTTTTGCCGAACACATTCTTTGAAATCGCGAGTTTTTGGGCTTTCAGCGAGCATAACTCACTTCATTTTCATTCTGTGATGCACTTCTTTCCATGGGGTGAAAGAGCAGGATTTGCTCTTTCTAACAAGCCCAAACCGTTTTTCAAAGTTCATTTTTCGAGAAAATCACACGTTCGAACATTTTGTTCCCATAGGTTTTTGAGCAGCACATGCGAGTTTTTGAGCTTTCAGCAATAATAACTTCCTTCAAAGAGCTTGTTGGAAAGAGGCGAAGACATTTTTGAAGACTACGAGGTTTCTTCTTTCTTATGTGTTTCACGATTGTCTGGAAGAACCGTCCTCAGAAAAGTAGGTTCCCGAAGAAGTTCAATTTCAGCCACAAGAAGTCAAACTTTTCATGGAGATGCATTCAACTGTTCTCTATTCCTCAAGGAAAAAGTAGAGGGGTCGCGAAATTTCCGAAAAAGTGCGAAAGTTACGGCTGGCCCTGCTTCGGAACGAAAGGAGGGTAGAAGTAGTTATGGCCGTTCTAATACAAAACTCCAGGTTAAACACAAGAAATTTCATTTTTGAATCATATTTTTTTGCCTGCTTTGGTATCGCAGTGTGCATACACTCAATAGGCCACTATGGGCATATGTGTCAGAAAATGAAGCTTGATAAATGTTCGACTTAATGCAGTGCCCTATATGTGGCTAGCTCTCTCTCATTTTGACTTGTTTCACTCTATGGGTACTCACGTTCCGACACTGAAATCGATCTTTTGTAAAATGTGTCCGTTCGCGAATAAACTCCTTGATCATTTCCCATAGTTTTGAGATCTTTGAAATGTTCAGGTATTCCTCGACGTCTTCTTTTGGGCACTGTGAATGACAGCAAAGGGTGTCCTCCTCAAGAATGAGAGAGAAAGGCCATCATGTTTCGACCCCGACGATCCGGAGTATGTTAAGGATTTGCAGCGGCCTGCTGTCATAAAAGTATGTTTTTTGTGCTGTATGATTTCTCACTTATTTAAAGAGCTACGTCAATCAATGAAACTGATATCACCTGAAATTGTGTCCAGTTTAGTGAGATTACAAGAATATTGGAGGCGGAGGAGGTATAGAGGCAGGTGAGGCTGCTAAGCACCAGGGTCAAGCGTGTGTTGAGGTTTACTTGACGAGGGGGTTATGAAGTCCAGTGGGGATGGGGGAGTTCCAAAAAATATTGACGCTGAACAGAATAACACTCTTTTGAAAGTTAGTAGTTCGCCTCGGTCAACCTCGTTGTGGGGAAGATTGTGCACGCCAGTGTGAGCTCAACGCTCCCGTGCTCAATTTGGTTCCCCGGCGGAAAAGTTCTACTTATATCCAAGTTCTGTTTTATGGTGTTTTGTATTTAATCCTTATATCGCTATTCTCGAGCGAGTAGGATACACGTTTATATATCCGCATACACACATAGACACAAACAAATGGTGTTGGGTGGGAGAAGGGTCGTATCGAGGCCCTCCAGAAGGGGGGGGGGGGTAAAATCTTTGAAATTTGTCCAACGTGGCGGTCGACCCTTTTTCCAATGTCCAACGATTAAACAGTCAGTCGGAACAAAGCTATGGTTCTCGACGTGAAGCATTTCATGTGACATAATCAAAGGTCCAATTTTGAACTACCAAAATTAACATCTAGCTAACCATAGTATTGATTGAGAAGAGCTGTACAAGTTGAAATTTCGGGTTCTGAGGTGTCGATCAATATAGAATAAAAATATGCGTCCTTGCATAGAGTGTTCAAACGGGTAATGAACTCCAATGAGTGGTTGCGATCGTGAAAGGTGGAATACTACAGTTGTAGATCTCAACATGGGATTTGGACCCCATTGTCAGAAACTAGGCTGTGGTGATTTTCTTAGGATCCATTTTTGGCAGCTTTGTAATGCACGACGTACCGTGCCCCGCAAGAGCTGGTTTAATCATGTAATATTAAAAGTAAGTCAGAGGTGGCTTTATTTTGTGATTTTTCTAGGAAGACCTGACGGAAATGGAACGGAGAAAGCGAGTTCAAGAACTTCTGGAATCGAAGAGTTTCTGTCAAGAACTGGAGGAGGTAGTATTAATGCAAAGATTTTGAGTAATTATGTCGCCAGATCAACACATTTAGGTAATTCGTCAAGATTCCAATAGTGCTCGTGGAGATCCAGAACAATTGAAGCCACTGAAAAGGCTTTCCGAGTTGAAAATGCATGCAGGAGCAATGACGCTAAAAACCTTGCCTTCTATTGGTGAGCAGTGACTTCGCAAAAATTTCATCTTTGCCACGGAGCGGCTCCCAGACAATACCTAACCATTTGGGCGCGGCCGCGGCGAACGCGGCCGAGTTGATAGGTGCCCGCGAACTCAGCACAGCACAGTTCGCGGGCACCTCGAGTGCGTTTTCAACGGTTCGCGGGCACAATCGACTCGGCCGCGTTCGCCGCGGCCGCGCCCAAATGGTTAGGTATTGTCTGGGAGCCCCACGGAACTGTTGTCACGACCAACTCCCGAGTATAACTACACTCTTACTCACCATGAAAAGCTTTCTCTTTCAATTTTTATGGTGCTTATCTCAGAGGCACCATGCACTGAAGAACGATATATTCCTCCAACGTACAGGTAGAAACACCTCTTGAAAAGTGATTGCCTGGAGAACTGCTGGTTGCAGGGGCTCGTTATGGGAGCAGCCACATGCAAGGATATCAGTAAGCAACAAACTCGTTCACGTTTGTCTGCACCGCCCGCACCTGCGACCGATTAAAGGCGGGAGCTGAACGTAATTATAATCTACCAAGCTTTTCCATTTTTTATGAGAACGAATGCTAATTCATTGCACTTTTTTGTTTTCTCGCGACGAAGGAGCAATTTTGGTGAAACTGCATGGTTTCTGTACACAATACCTTCAAAGCAGAAACTTCAGATGAGGTTGTATACAGTAATCGTTCCTGTACAGAGTTGCTGGCGAGTATTACAGAATGCCTTTGTTACCCAAAACTGCGAAATGAGCTAGAGCCTTATGAATAGTGCAGATCTTACAATCAGCAAATATGAGCGAATATCCCTACTATATATAATGCGCTATGTCTGTCTGTCCGTCTGTCACGAAATTCGGTATTAAGCGAACAACAACCTACAGGGTCCAGGTCAAGTTTGGGATGGGTGTACCATATCCTCTAGAAGTAAAAAACACACATCAGCCAAGCGGAGCCCCGCCCACAGTGGGCGTGGCGTGCATCGGTTGATTCCAAATCCAGTCAAAACAGCCTCGAGACTTGTAATAATATACGGTGTATTTTAAGGGAAGTACAAAGCAGGGGGAGGGGGCAGGGATATCCAGTAGTCGTTGTTTTATTGTTTGTTAAGAAATTCGTATGTTATTGTTATACTCAATATTTTGTGGACCTATGACTGGAAACGAACCGCAATAATTTTTTATGACCAAAAATGTTAATTTTTCTTCCAGGAGCATCTGCCGTTCCAATAGCAGATCTTAAGAGCAACGACAACTATTCAGTGCATGAAAAATTGCAGAGGAACAAGCTGGCATCACTCTTCCGACTGGTAGATTTGTTCCAATGGTCGCTAGGAATTCATAACAATATTACGGTAGGTCGATATTTCTTTTTCGAAGAGTTGCACATTTGAAGCTTGAGGTAACTCACTTGAATTTAATTTTCTTCGGATACAGTGAAAAGAAATATTTCAAAAATATCAAATTAGAGAGACGTGTCAACTGCTGTATTAGACAGCTCTAGGACCAGGGAGTCAGGCTCACCATAAAAAAACGTAGTACATGTGCCCAACGGCCAGAACGCCTTCAAAACAGTAGATGGGCCTCTTCCATCACAGCCTCTCCATTCTTAGATACTCTGGTCACGGACGCTGACAGCAAGGCCAACATACACTCCAAATCTCGAAGTCTGATTGGGCGTGTCACCGGAAATGACGTGGCAGCCACCGCACTTGATAGAAGTTGCGCGGATAAGCTGCTTCCAGCACGCTTTGCTGATATCTGGCGGAGTATTTTATCCACACATCTATCAAGTGCGGTGGCTGCCACGTCATTTCCGGTGACACGCCCAATCAGACTTCGAGATACCGACTGTAATTGCTAGACTAACATGCATGACATCGATAAGTGAAGGAGTCTCAGTGGCTATAGTCGCTACAAGAGAGTGCCACTTGGTCTGAAGTCTAAGATTTATGTTTCAGTCATTAGATCAGTAGTCACTTATAGAGCAGAAGCGAAGCAGATGACGTCAGGCAAGACTTGAGCATGTGAGTCTACAGAAATGAAGATGCTCTGATAAAACACCCATTACACGCTGAACGACAAAGATCTAGGCTCTGACGAAGGCGAAGAGGCCGAAACGTAAGCCTAATAAAAAGTGCTGAAATCTTGGTCAGGCTACAGCAAAACCATCACATCAACTTCCATGCCAAGATTAAGAGAAAGTCGTTCTTGGAAAAATTGGTATCGATTGATGCCTAAGCGAATAGGGAACGAGAAATTCCGAGACAACATTGAGTTTCACCGATCGGCAACTCTCTTTCCTCCTCCCGCCTGCGCTGGTGTAGTTTTATCTCACAAAGGCTTCCCAACGCCATGTCAGACACAGATGACAAAATTACCTTCATCAATACAGACCCGTCGAACAGGTCCTAATTGCGATATCTGGACAACGTGAAGGTCGATAGGAATGCTGCTGGCATGTTTGCTGATGCATGGGATCAACATAGCTGAAAAGCTTTGGCAAAGATGGGTACTCGACCAAATTTGGAAAACACGCTAAAAAGAAGGAGATTCACAAGCATAGTTGCCTGATGTAGCTCAGGAACCGCTTTTTGCACTCGACTTTGGCGAAATTTATGCATCTAAAAAATCGCTGATTCCGGGAAGTACGGGAAGAACATTTGCATTCAATCTGTTTCGGTGCGGAATTTATGAGGTAGCTCTCCACTCTCTTCTCTTCATGAGCGTCTGATAACTTTTTGATTTCTGAAAATAAACTGCAAGCAGCACAAGAGCATTCTCGGTATATTTTCAGGAGTTCAGAAAAGGAAGCACTAGAAAGGAAAGACTCAGGAATATTGACGAGTTACAGGGACACGGCACAATAAGTGCGAGTCAGTGCAAGCTCCGTTTCGGAACTGCAGCTTGGGCGATGAATCGGGTACGGGAAGGCTTGCCGATCTCGCTGAATTTTTGCGAGGGTGTTGGAGGGAAATTGAGATGTAACTACCATGAAGAATCCAGATTCAGCCATTCCACGATTCTTGACACCTTCAAGCCCCTTGAAAAGTCCTGCAGGTAGGCCTGTGGGCGCCGTATTCTTTTTGCCAGCCTTTTTTTGCGCCCAGAGCACTGGTGGCTCCGCCACTGTTAAGCAACTTTGGATGACAGACCATACTTCATCCTTTATGATCGCCAAACACTGAGGTATCTATTAAACACATTTTCCGGAGCATGGAGAATAGCTAAAGGGAAAATAATGAGGTCTGTGGGAGGCAAGAGGGAAGAATATTTACAAATCGCTGATTTTCCGAAAGGAAGATTCAGTCTCTCACTAAGTGAGCTAAACAATCGTAGATCATCGTATAGCATACGCGTTATACGAAGATTCTTACGATAAAGGATAAAGGATAAAGCATTTGCCGTTGATCAATCCCTTTTTGGGATGCGGCACGCATTCTACTTCCATTTGTACATTCGTAGTGGCGTTTGAATGCGATGTGGCCTATACAATGACTTGCGGGGGCCAGCCGATGTACAAGTCAGTGTTTTTTTATCCTCCCAGACAAGTCTGGTACCAATTAACCGACCCCGGAGGGATGGAAGGCTTGGTTGGCCCGGGCGACTCACGACCCAGGATTTGATCCCCGGACCGCTCGCGTGGTAAGCGTGCCACTTGCCACTACACCACTTCCGCCCACAACTATAAGAATGTTTAATTACCCTCATTTGTCCCTTCATCCTCCCACTTCTCTAGGATGCTTATATGTATGCCTACTGCCACAGAAAAACGTCCTTTCTTCTATATAATATTTGCATAAAATTTTTTCTAAAAAGCGGGGACGTGGCAACCTGCATCACTTATGGAATGTCCCTACAAGCGCATCGTAGCTGGCGGCTCTGCTTGAACTTCCCCTTTAAGTGGAAGCTGCCTTATCGCACGTGCCGCTCCCATGTCTGCGTGCGATGATGCTCAGAGCGCTGCCTTTTTTATTTATTTTCTTTCACCATTTGGATCTCTTATATTTCGTCTTGATCTTACTTACCGATACCGACTCACTCATATTGCCAACTTTTCAGCTACGCTTACGCAATGATGAGAATTATGTCCTTATCAACCCTTTTGGGTTACTATATCATGAGATTACTGCTGGAAGTTTTGTGAAACTCAATCTGCAAGGCGATATCGTTGACCCAGGGACTACGAGCCTAGGTATAAATAAGGTAAGGATAATTTAAAGTCCAATCATGCTATTTAAAACTATTTGAAAAATTCTTACATGCTTTCAAGTCTTAACTCCGGTCCAATATTAAAGCAACAGTCCCAGCAGGGTGGGCGTGGTCGGAAACGACTGCAATCCCCTCGGCCGATTCCGACCACGCCCACTTCAGCTCCCTCCCTAGCGGCTTTCCAAGGTGAGTTTTTGTTCAGTCACACTTCTTACGTTCTTGACTAGGGGCTGAACAGCTCCGAAGTGGGAATCGGCCGAGGGGATTGCAGCCGTTTCCGACCACGCCCACCCTGCTGGGACTGTTGCTTTAACAGAAGGATTCAAAGTCTCGCGTCCTCCCTATTGTAGAACCTCCTTTCTTCAGAAATGTAATTCACGTTGCATGTTTACCACGTGACGACGCCACATATATTCGAATGACGTGTCAGATTTTTCTTTCAGAGTGGTTTCATGTTACATTCTGCAATACACTGTGCTCGCCCGGATGTAAGATGTATATCCGCTGCCCGCCCCCCGCTTTGACATTGAATACAGCGGTGGTGTCCGCTGTAGCCAGCATGACGTGTGGTCTTCTTCCTCTTTGTCAGGAAGCAATATCTATTGGTTCTGTTGCATATCATGACAACAATGTGGGTTGCAAAATTCTTCAAACTTGTTATCTTTTTTGGTTTGCTGCGGAACTCAGTCCTGCATACCAAATGATGACAAAGAACAAGTCCGTCATGCAACGATACTAGTACTCGCCGTCTAAATGGTGAATGAACTTACCTAGGGTGTTTGCATGAATCTTAGATAGCTTGTTGCCCTTTGGGAGAAAGAAATTAAAGGAATCTTGCGCGGAAAATTCTTGCACTCTTTCCTAACATGAATATGTCAGTTGTGATCACTGGAAATAGCACACAAAGTTTCACGCATGAAGATTCGGTTTCTGAAGAGAAACAAACGTACAAAAACTACACGTTATGGACCATCGAAGGACCAGGAGGCAGAGCCAGGCGAGGCATGGAAAGAAGAAGGCGTTTGGCCGGCTACGTACCAGGCGACGCAATGAGAGAATCGGGTTAAAGCGCGCGATTTCGGAGAGTGGAGACAAATCGATCGATGGGATAGGATGGAGTAGAAGAGTAAGATGTGAATGCAACGAAGCAGAAGGCCAGAAAGAGCATCTAGTGAATGCACTCCAAGAACCAAGTTTGACCATTCCCGTCGCCAGCATTC